AGCATAAATGCGTAATTATTTTTTTTACAGAAAAAGTAATTTTTCACCTTTGGTTGAGTAACGCGTCGTAGAATGCAGATACGGGCATGCAAAATACACTTGTGAAAAGCTTGAAGTCTGGCGATTCTAAAAATATATACTTTCCTGGGTCTATTTGTAGTCATTTAGTCACAATTAGAGGATGAAAACAAGTATGCAAATAATAGTCCCGCTACCTTAAATGATCATGCTTTTTATTTTGGCTATGTTGCGCACTGGTAAGAGATCACCAGCACCGACATTGTTTCATTGTATCAACGTAATCCCAACGCAACTTTGAACTTTGAATGAACCGTAAATGCTGCCTTCAATCTAGAAAATACTTTGGCAAAACGGTTGGAAATAATAAATTTAACAACAGAATACGTCCCAACAATAAAATGAAGTAACTTCTAAAGACTGAATGTGTTTTTTTTTTGCGAACTTCGTATACGTGATTCGGTTTTAGTTATAAACAAACGTTATCTTCTTGTTCATGTCCTACCATGACAACAGCCGAAAACGTATTGCTTGCTTTTTGAGCGGAGCAGATCACCAACCAGCCTACCGGCTTGTATAGTTATATCTTCAAATCTCTATTTTCAGTGAATACTAGTATATTTTTGATAAAAATTGCTGGTATGTGTGTCTTTTCCACCAATATCTAAATAACCAATCATTAGATTTCAATGTTGCTTTGTGATAATGTGTAGAGCTGATAAGGTTTCAGTGAAAAACCACACTACCTTACCCTACCCTACCCTACTACCCTAATGCCCTTTCTTTTTTAGCAAAAACCATTGAGTGGCAGCCAATTGCCTTATTGTTTATTTGCCAATGACCACCATACTCTTGAAAGTCTGGTCTGCAGCACTGACGATGACATTTCGTTTATATTCTACAAACATATTTACACTCACTGAAATGTCTGTCTTGTACAACTGCATTCTATATTTTTTCTGTTGCCATTGGTTTGAGAATATCACCCTGAGTTTGAAGAAAAAAACTACTTGACTCTCCTTAAAGGATCACAGAAAACACACATAGCTGGGCATAAATATATTAAATAAATCTGTTGGCTCTCTGAGCTTTGATTTTCACATGTCAATCTTTTCTATTTAGTGCATCAATGTTTTCATTTGAAATAGTTCTTTGACAGGGAACACGCTGCTGAAGTGCTGCTCAAAACAGTTCATCAATTAGCAGTTAGCAGTAATGCCAGCCCATTATGAGGAAGGATTGTGAGAATTACTGTATATGTGAACTGATCACTGTTCACAAACAAGTTATTCTTGCCTATTAATGTTCAGAATGTATCCTGGTACTTTGTTGTACAATGCGAATACATTACTAAATCAAATATTATTGTAACCAGTTCTTACTTGCTCCATACTGAGTACACAGGTTATTGGATTGATTCCCTATTTCTTACTAATACCTTGTTGTAATGTTCACAGTATGCCAGATGACGTGTGCCATTTAGCAGAATTAGAAGGTGACACACTTCATCTTTATGGTCCTGGTTCTTTAGAAGCTTTAGATAAAAATTGGGGAATCCAAGCTGCTAGCGCTGTCACTGCCGTGTGTTTCAAATTTATAGAGTTTCATGGGATTGCTAAAAACCTGCACAAAATTAGAAGTCGATTTCCTAACGTAACGGTGAGTTGAATTTATTTGCTTTAATATACATAGCTCTCTATAGTACAGTAAAACATGTGTAAATTGCAAACTTTTAAAACCAAATGCTTTCCTTCCTTCTATTCTCCATAAATAAAACACTTTTTCATCTCCTTCACTACAGAAGACTTGTGTAAACTGAATACCTTGTGAAGTTAGAAATGTTTACCTTTTTTTTTAACTCCGCTGTCGACTTTGTCGAGCGGAGCTTATCATATGAGTGATTGTCCGTCGTCGTCCGTGTCAATGTTTTACTTTTTTGACTTCTTCTTGAAAACTACAAGCCTGAATGCTTTGATACTGGTGTATATGTACCTTGGGTAGACCTCTCTTAGGTTTGTTCATTTTATGTTGATATCTTCAATTCTCTAATTTTGGTGAATATTTTTGTCATTTTTGGTATAAAAGTGATATTTTCGACTTCTTGTTAAAAACCGCAAGTCCAATTGATTTGATACTTACATATATAGGTACTACATGTGGACCTCTCTCAGATTTGTTCATTTCGTGATGAT